ATTGTCCATGCATGATCGTGGCAAAGAATAAACTGTTTTCAAATAGACCAGAGCTGTTGTTATCTCGTTTTGTGTTAATGGGCGTTTTGATTCATTATTATTCTCTTCTCTATAACATAAAACGAAGCGGATCCTTTTTGCTTAGAGAAGGAGTAATATATTTGGTACCTTTGGTTAAGAATAGCTTTTTCACCTTTGAATGAGATAACATTATCAAGAAAGAATAAATCTGAAACCGCATTCCATGGATTATCAGATACAGGATCATCTAAAAATCCACGTGCAATCAAGGTCTTTTTTTCAGCAGTACTCACCTGATTCTACTTGTAACATTTTTACTTCATTTGTTTCATTATCTAAATTTGATCCAATATTTTCTTCATGAAAACAGGAAAATTGTTTTGTTCTTCTTCTTTGTCTGTGCAACCAAAATAATCCAAGACGTTGTTTCCTTCGTTGACGTTGCTGTGTTCTTAACGATGACATGAATTCACTTGAATTTACAATTACCCATTACATTAAAATGAAAACAGAAGTATACTTGTACATATATATACATCCAGTGCTTTTCTTTCTTTCTTATGCTCAGTAAATAAAATGAAAAAAAACATGCTATATTCTCTGTATAAAATGTACAGATGAGAGGAGAGAAAGAAATGTAATGATATGTTCGATCTCTTGCCGACGACAACTATTTCGTCGTACATTCATTTCGAATGTAAAGAGATGTAGGTGTTCTTAGTCAAGAGTGTAACGGAATAGATTTATTACTGCAGGCAGTGTCGACAAAAAAACGATGTGTGCCTATCCCATGTAGAAATGTTGATACCCTCCACGAAGTGAACACAGGTTGAAATTTTTTCCCACGTGTGTACACGGCAAAATAGTCTTGTTTTTCAGAATTCTATGTGCGAAGACATGTGGAAGATAATTTTATGTACGCGAACAGGCGTGGATAGGAAAAGATTCGATGTGTTCACACGTGAAATATGTCCTTGACGCGTGAAAGAGTGTGGAAGATAATTTTTTGTACGCGAACAGGCGTGTCGTTTTAGTCAGCTTAACTGAGATGCCTTTATTCTTCAGTTTTTTATCTGTTTCTGATTACTGTCACACAAAAAAGTAGAAAACAAAGTTGATGTGCACTAAACTACACAAAAAAAATAAAATAAAAACAACAATAGCACAACAAACAGTCAAATGTTTTTGCTATCCCACATATAGTCCAAAAATAAAAATCCACCCAGAATGTTTTTTTAATTTATTTTAGGCTATTTGGAGGGCGAAACTTTCTTCGTCACTTTTGTCATCATCATCAGTCTCGTCTTGATCATCGTTTTTTGGGAAATTCTCAGGGTTTTGCCCATCTACTGTTTGATGTTCAGTATTATTTTCTTTCTCTGGATTCGATGTCTCATCATGTGGTGCTGGTGGTGTTGACAAATTCGTCCGTGTATTTAAATCGGCAGATGAAGTAGTTGACGACGATTGTGTACATAATCGCTGATTCCGTTGAATGCTCTTTGATTTGTCTCGCTTTTCTGTGCGAAATAAATTGTTGATATATTCGTTCACTGTTCCCGGTGGTTGATATTCGTCTGGATGCATCAGTCTGATAAATTCTAAAATTTAAAAAGTGTATTTAGGTTCGGTTACACAGGACAATGCTTTTTCATGTAATTACCATGAACCGCTTGACGATAATGTGAAGGCAATTTTTTTGCATTCATATCAGCAAGTGCATCACGTGGGTATAAACTTCGTAAAATTTTTCTGGCCGAATCAGCGATTGATACACCTTTCAATTTTAACAAATCCTTTTGTTTTCCTTCAGCAAAACCAAGTTTACGTGCTATTGGTACAAGTGAAGCCGATGTAACAATCGGTGGATGAGACCATAGTTTGCCCATATTTATTATCCATTGTTGCACTTCAATTGGTGGTTTTTCTGATAAAAACAGAGAAATTACATAAGAAAAAACTGCTAAAAGCTGAAGACTTACTAATTGTCGACTGTTTTAAGTCAGAAAACATTTCTGACAGTCTATTGTACGACTGTCGTAGAGTGTTATATTCAGCCAATAGTCGATTATATTTTTTAACCACTGAAAATGACTTTTCTGCATTCAACACCTTTTGGTCTTCTTCCTGATATTCATCGTCATCACTTTGTTGGTCATCACCTAAAAATCAAGTAATTAAATTCATTGCTGTTCTCGGCACATTCAAAAACATACCGATAGTTATTGTTGATTTTGTTGGCAATTTTTCATTTTTACCTATTGTTACTTGACGATCTGTGTGAGGAGACGGTAATTTTACACTTGATAAAGACGACGTTGCTTTATTTGATGCTGGTGGAGTACGTGGTAATAAATCTGTATTTGTAGATGGCAACGATTTTCTGCTAGACGACAACGGCGTGGTTGATGCTGGTTTTTTCGAGTCAGACTGACGATTGACTATGGCTGATAACACTTTTCTCCCTGAATTAAAAAGGGCGTGTGGAAAGAATATGATAGACAAACTGCATACCTTGTTTTATTCGTTCATCACTACTCATATTAGCGTTCATCAAATCACCAATATTCGGTAAATGTTCATCTGCAGCTAGAAAAGAAAGAGAAAATAAAATTTATGACCAGTTTTTTTCCTACACTTCACGCGTGTTCACGTTTACGATAAGACCGCGGCAAGTTTTCATTTAGAAACGCCGAAGTTTACCTTGTGAACCGTTGATTTTTATTTCCATCTTCGATACCGGTTCCGATGCTTTCGTACCCCAAAACGAATGAATTGATGGTAATCTTGGTTGAAGAAGAACAATCGGACGCATATCTCCATCGTTCAGACTAGATTCTACAAAATATAAAATTTCATTTACTAATCACATTTACGAACGCTCTCATGTGTTTCCCTTACCGACTGTTGTTAATTCCGGTGACAAATTACGTTGACAACAAAGCGCTTCCGTTTCTTGATATAGGCCGTGTACTGCCTTTTACGCGTAACGGCAATCTTTGTTCGATTGCTATAATTTTGATGTCACACACTAATTTACTTTGATCCAACGTATAATAATTGCCATTGTCGCCTTTCACTAATACATGAGTTGCAATCTTTGCGGCTGCTCGTTTTAATTTTTGAATTCGCAGACTACGAGAACTACCATTTGAATCCGCCGATGATGACCGTGATCGTTTGGATGAACCACCGTTATTCCGCTTTGTTGTGGTTGACCCTTTTTTCCCGGACGATGAATTTCCTTTCGGTGCCATAATGATTAGACGAATAAAGAGTAATCAAAGACGCAGATCGATGAAAACGATGAAACTATTATCTAAAAGACCGTGGAACCGGACAAAAAATTGCTTTTGTGACTTTGCACGAGATCATTTTTTTCCAATTTCCCTTACCTTGAAACTATTTTACTCACTCTAATTCAGTCTTTTGAAACATATATCATTCAAATAGAAAGAAGAGACTTAAAAACGCTTTACTTTTGATTTTATTTTCGTTTCATTGCTAAAGAAGCAAAAAGAGTAATAAAAGTTATAAAGCAAAAAAGCTACTTTCATATATGACTTCACCCGTGGAAACAACTAGAGAAAAGAGAGAGATAACACACGAACGATGAGTCACTATTATGTTTACACGTTTATATTGTAGAGAATAGCGAGGATAGAAGGAGAACTAAAATTTTTAGTTCTTCTTCTATATACCATATATTTTAGACTAGAATATATGGTATATGACGCACAAAACGACAAATTCTCAATGAGAGAGAAGAGAAATTTAGACAAACTATGGTTGTACAGTCACTTGTTGGTTCACGTGGAATACGTAAACCGAAATTTAAACAAATA